TGAAGACAGAAGACACATTTACAGTTTCAGTTTGACAGCAGCTGTGTGTGTGTGTGTGTGTGTGTGTGTCAGGATAAGGACTTTGGGACGCAGGTTCTGTACCATCCTCACAGTAACCCTGCAGCAGAACTGGAGACCAGCCTGAAACATTACAGAGGCCACAGTCTGGACCGGGCCTACAGAGGTCAGGACTTCTTCTGGGCTCAAACACCTAACCAGGGGGACTACGTCCTCATCAGGTTCCCTAAGCCTCTCCATGTGTCACGGTCAGTCTGGGCTTTTAGAACAAACACTGTTTCCATTCTGATTACTTTGATCTCATTCATATGTGTTTATATATGTGCAGTGTATAAACACACACACACATATATATATACAGTATATGTTTATATGTATATATATATATAAACATATATATACAGTATATATGTGTTTATATATGTACAGTGTATAAACATATACAGTATATATACAGTATATATGTGTTTATATATGTGCAGTGTATACACACATATACAGTATATATACAGTATATATGTGTTTATATATGTGCAGTGTATAAACACACACACATATATATACAGTATATGTTTATATGTATATATATATATAAACATATATATACAGTATATATGTGTTTATATATGTGCAGTGTATAAACACACACACATATATATACAGTATATGTTTATATGTATATATATATATAAACATATATATACAGTATATATGTGTTTATATATGTGCAGTGTATAAACATATACAGTATATATACAGTATATATGTGTTTATATATGTGCAGTGTATAAACAGGATGTATTTTCTCTTCACTGCAGATTCCTGTTTCGCAGTGGAAACATTGAAAACAGTAAAGATAAACTGTACAACACCACAGTGGAGGTTCTGCCCAGCACGGTGGGTCACATGACCGTCTTTGTACGTTTATCTCAGGTGATTGGCCAGGTGCACACTGGACTGGGATCAGGTGGTGTGGATCAACAGACCGACAGACGTCATATTCTCCAAGCTAATTAAGACAAATATTTGCTCAGTCAAGTATAATACTTCATACTTAATTCACCTGCAAATATTTGCAGTACAGACGACCAGAGCGTTGTAGTAGAGCGGCCTGTGTCGAACTACTAGAAGCCTTTGTTTCCTTTGAGAGTTGATATTCTACATGACTCCGTGGAGGCGTGGAGCAGCCAGGGTGTTGACTCAGCCCTGACTGGTGTGTGTGTGTGTGTGTGTCTCCAGGTCTCCACAGGACACACAGAGTCTGACGGCTTCAGAGTTGTTGGTAAGGTGACCATACACACACACTTACACTTACACTTACAGTAAATACACGTGGACACACTGGCATCAAAGGTCAAAGGTCTGCACCTGGACTGACTGGAGCAGGTGTTTCCAGGGAGTGTCCATAAATATACACATTACTAAAAGCTCATCTGTTCCGTTTCCTACTTGATTTTTATTTGGGGGTTTTTTCACCTTAGGGGCCTTTGAAGACGGACTAGCTGCTGGGCAGATTGAAAATGGGCTGCAGCCCATCTGGGCTCTACGTCTGGTGGTCCATGCTAGTTCAGATGTGTGGACTCTACTCAGTGAGGTGTGACCTGGGAGCTCACTCACACTAACTAACCAACTAACTGGACTAGTTTCAGCAGCCTCGTAGGTCAGGGGTTAGTTAGAGTCAAAGGGTGACGGGGGTGTACAGCACCAGTGATCAGAGCACTGGACCGCTCTGGTCCCTGAGCCCTGAAGCCCAGCACCCCAGGTGACGCTGCTGTCCTGTCCATGTCCTGTCCATGTCCTGTCCATGTCCATGTCCATGTCCTGTCCAGCCAAACATACACTTCTGTTGGAACATTTTCAACAAGGGCTTACAGTTTTACTAGCAGCGTGAACGGCTGAGCGTGAACACCATTAACTAACCCTTATTTTTGTTTCCATTCTACAGATTCACATTGAAGTCTGATGACCGGATCAACCGATACACACACACACACACACACACACACTAACCACTGTGTTGACAAGTGTTCGTGTGAGCAGACAGAAGTGGTGCAAATAAAACAGACCCAGATGTCTACGACCGTCAGTGTGTGTGTGTGTGTGTGTGTGTGTGTGTGTGTGTGTTCAGTACTGATGGCTCCTCTGAGCTGAGACTTATTATATTAATGTTCTTCCTGTCAGTGTCGTTACTCTGTAGAGTACACACTAAATACTACGTTATAGGTTGGCGCTTTGGCCCAGAGGTCATGTCTCTGTCGTTGGTGTGGGGCTCAACTCCTGGGTTAGATCGAATCCCAGTTAGGGCGGATGGCGCCCTCCAGTGGACTCACCACCCGCAGGAAGGTTTGACGAGGGGCTGGTGCAGTGAGGTTTGAGTGACGGTCAGGGAGACCGCCGCCCCCGCGACCCGGTAACGGATCAGATGGATGGACTACGTCATATGTCAGGATGTACCGTATACGTCATAGGTCAACGTGTATCTGTTTTGTACCCAGTACAACACTGCCGCCTTGTGCTAAAACCCCACCCTGCGGGGAAAATGAGAAAGTGTATGTGAAGTATATACATATACTTTTATATGTAAAGTCTATTTTTTGAGGTATACTTTACACATCACTTGATCTTTTAAAGGGTTTGTCGACATTTAAAGTTGATTTGATGAAACGGTCTGTGTGGGGCGGGGCGTGAAGAGAGAGCGCGCGCGCGCACGCTGTCTGGAGCGACGTCAACATGGACAGCGACGACGAGACCGTAGAAGAAGTAGTTGAAGGTAGAAAAAACCCCAAACTTTTAAAAATTCTTTCCGACTGTGTTTTCGCTGATAAATCGTGTTCAGACGCGGGCCACACGTCGGCGCTGTTTGTTTTCTCTCTGCTTCCTGCTTCTCTTAAATCCGCCGGTCGGTGGAACGCGGGCCGCGCCGGGTAACATCCGGAGCCGGGAGTCTGATTTGGGCAGGGAGCCGTGGAACAGGCACATGAGATCGGCTTGGCTTCGGTCTGAGTCCCGCTGCCGTCATGGCGTCCACGGCTTCTTCTAAGACCCACACACTGGCCGTAGAAATACATCCAGAAATACATCCAGAAATACTGCTGCAGGGAAAAGTAGAAAACAAATCTTGAAATGAACCTTCAACTTGTTGCTGTGTTTTTACTACAGTCATAGTACTGTAATAGTACTGTTTTTCACTAGTCATAGTACTGTAATATTACTGTGTTTTTACTACAGTCGTACTACTGTAATAGTATTGTGTCACAGCTTATTAAATGTTGTTCATAAATGTCCGTCCGTCCGTCCGTCCGTCCGTCCTCAGGGCCGTTGGATGATGATGATCAGCCTCATGGTTTCTGCACCGTGACCTTCTCGTCCAGGGATCGATTTGAAGGACATTTTGTCCACGGAGAAAAAAATGGCAAGGGCAAATTCTTCTTCTTTGATGGAAGGTACTTCAAAGATGGTAAACCTGTGAATACTGGTGAATGTAGTAGTACGTTAAAGTACAACGTTGGTACTCACAGTATTTGATGAAGGTGCAGGAAGTGAACCTTCAGCCGTGTTTCCTCTCCGCAGCACTCTGGAGGGCTACTACGTGGACGACGCCTTACAGGGTCAGGGGCTGTACACGTACGAAGACGGCGGCGTTCTCCGTGGAACATACGTGGACGGAGAACTCAACGGACTGGCCCAAGAGTTCGACGGAGAGGGACACCTAGTGTTCAAGGGCCAATACAAAGACAACAGCCGCTGCGGGGAGTGCTGGGTCTACCACCCTGTGAGTCACGGCACCCACCGGGGAAGGGCTAGGCTCCTCCCACATCTGTCCGCAGGGGCAAACACATTGAAATATCACACGTTTAAACTGAGAGCCAACAGTCTGACCTCTGACCCTGATCCTCCGACCGTCTTTACGCTCCCTCGTGTTTTTCTCTCTTTCATCACGTGCGTCTGTGACTCCTCCAGGACGGCGGCTGTTTGTTCGGGGAGGTGAACGACGACGGGGAGATGACTGGTGATTCCGTAGCCTACGTCTACCCTGACGGACGCACGTCTCTCTTTGGAACGTTTGTGGACGGGGAGCTCATCCAGGCGCGGCTGGCCGTCCTGACCTCCAGTCACAACGGGAGACCTCGCTTTGAAGTTTCCCCTGACAGTCAGTACACACACACACACACACAGACCAAGTACAGTGTGATGTGGTCAAACACTGACCGACCCGTGGTGTGTGTGTGTGTGTGTGTGTGTGTGTGTGTGTGTTCAAGGCCCACTTTACTCCTACGACAAGTCCACATCCACCTGCGTCGCCACCCACGTCCTGCTGCCTGACCCGTACGAGAGCGACAGGTGGGCATATACTGTATATACTGTACTGTTTTTAGTGGTCATCTGCTGCCACCTAGTGGCGGAGTGTGTCATTGTTCTGCTTGTCAGTGTGGAATAGGTATAAATAAATAAATAGTAGATTTCAGAGGCAGTCAAATTGGACTATTTTCCGTAGTACTCCTGACGAGCGCTCACTGACGTAATGACGTCACTGACGTCACTGAAACATTTACAGTTTAAACTGGGAAAATATAATAAATATGCCGTGAAAATGTGCAAATATAAAGCAAAATACAAACTGATATTGATACACATCATCATCATCATCATCATCATCA